AGTAGTCACTCTAGTGTAATTTGCTCAACAAAATTTTGAATTTTGAATCTTGAATTTTGAATTTTTTTTTCCTTGATCCGATCCGTGATCCGATCCGTGATCCGATCCGTGATCCGATCCGTGATCCGGTCCGATCCGATCCAGGTTTTGTCGACGCCGTCATTCAATCCAACATGGTGGGTATAGCTGGAATCAACACCAGAGAGCTAGAGTGGAATATTTTGTATTCTGGCAAATCAATTACATATGAACTCACAATTGATCTCAGTTGTTTCTAATGTATATGGGAACTGATTTAAGGTATGCAGCCAACCCCTTAATTGGCCATTTCAGAGTCGCCTATTGCCTCTGTCAAAACAAGTCTTTCTGGGAAAAAATTCATGTGGAAATGCATTCCACCTACAGGTCCATTTTCATGCAGATCAAACTCATTCTCAGATGAAAGGTTTTACACGAGGACTCGTTTGGAAATGGCCTACTGGTACGGTTGAAATCCTGTTGAATAAATCTCCTTTTCTTTCTTTTCTTTTTTTCAGGCTGCCTTGAAGTTTGTTGTTCCAAAACAATTATAGGAACTTTTTTGCATAAGACATGATAAGAATATAGAGAAGACAAATTTCAGTGTTTGGGAAAGCAGGCATTGTTGCCATGACATTGGAAATGTCCCGACAACACGGCGGGTGATGTTACAATGCGCTTAATTGGGGCCAAACTATTCCAAGCATAAAACCTAAGGGTGCTTTGCAAATATTCACTTCTTTTATTCATCACCAAAAGACAATTGACAACTAGCTACTTTCTCAAAATTGTCAAAATCCAGGTGCCATAAATTAAAGAAAGTTCATCCAGAGCCATTCTGGATATTTTGACAAGGCACGCAAATAAATAGTTGTAAACATATCAACGTACCATATACAATCATTTTTTTCATAAATCTCTATCTTTTTGCTTACTGCTTTTTTACAAAGTTATTAAGTTATGGCCGCAGCAACTTAAAAAAAAACTTTTCAGGAACAAAAGTAAAACAACAAGAGAGAGATAGAGGCAAAATAAATTGTTTAAAATAATGTAAAGTCCTGGAAATTTGACGTCTTCCGAAAATAAAGCCACCATAAAGACCCACCCACCCACCACCCCCCTTTTACCCCCATCTCTCTCCTGGTGTTGAGAATATAACCTAAATGACACCTATGCAAACACACCCTTCACTCCATTTACAGCCCCAGTTTGCACTGAGTGGCCAAATGGACTCACAAGTTTCCACGCAAGTACACACAAGTTGCAAAAACAAACACAGTTTCAAGGCTACTGGCTCTGTCCCATGCAGCCAAACTCTTGTGTTTTATTGGCTANTCCCCACCCCCTTGAACACACAAACATTATTTTAACAAAAAATAACAGCTGCACAAGCTGTTGTAATAACATGTTTTATACTAGCCTTATCTAGCAAGTCTTCATCGCAGCCTCTTTGAAAGTCAATGCCTACTTAGCTCTCCCAAAAAGGACAAGTGAGCCATGTAAACACCTATGGTACTTTTTGGGGAGGGGAAAAGAATCTTCAATACACTCAATCTGTTCCTGACAACTTTATATCTTAAAATAAACAACTGAGTTAAATTTTGTTTTGATCATTTAACTTAACTGGTGACTTAAGCCCTAGGCAAATGGACTCATGAGTAGTCGCAAGTAGCCCCAAGCTGAACTTGCATAGATACTTTGCGCTGAGTGGCCAAATGGACTCACAAGTTTCCACGCAAGTACACACAAGTTGCAAAAACAAACACAGTTTCAAGGCTACTGGCTCTGTCCCATGCAGCCAAACTCTTGTGTTTTATTGGCTAATAGGTTGCCAAAGAACTTGTGTTGACTTGGGTTGGGTGGTGTTGACAAACTTGCATTGACTTCTGTGCAAATCTGATCTTGACCAAAGTGAGCGCAAGTCACCGCAAGTCAATGCAAGTGCATGCAAGGCCTGGCCAAGCAGAGTCACAAGTGGACCCAAGTTTTCAACTTGTGTGTACTTGCAAGTCCATTTGGCCAGCGCTTTACAGGTTACTGTTTACGTTCCCTGCACTGTCACTACTTGTCTTCCCCTTCCTGACTCGTCCCCCATCATCTCTTGAGAGGTTTATTGAATAGGTGACAGTTGAGGGAGTCTTTATGAACTCCTCAGGGGCATGGATGGGATAATGAGAAGGATACAGCTTCCCTTGTTAATATTCAATGGACCTTTGAGATGACTGCAGAAGAGTCAGTTCCCATTTCCCATCTCTCCCTGCCCCCATCACAAAAGAGAGTACTATAAATGCTTTCTGAATTAAGCTCGAGCACTACAATACAATTTTTTACCACACAGTACAGACCAATAAGAACTCAACAAATAAAGAGATGCAGTTTGTAATGTCCAAAAACTACCATGGTGGCAATGGTAACAATAGTCCTATTATAAACAATAACTCTCACATATTCACATACTTCTTGTAAAGTTAATTTTAATTTAGAATTTTTGATGCTGAGACCTTTTTTCCCAACTGATCAATTCCTCAGTTTCCATGACCAGCCGGTTTGCATCGCTAGGTATAATAATAGATCAATGAACATATACGAACAAAATGACCAACCATTAAACTCTTTTAAAAAAGGAACCAGTTGATACATTACAAGCATCATTAATACCAAGGAGTTAGGAGCTTCTCACAAGGCAATATTTTGTGCTACCTGTTCCTGATTCGCACTTTGTGGTGACACTGTTGTTTGTACGAGGCAGTGCCCTTGCTTTGCACATTGAGGACATTATAGCTACCTAGCAGTACATAGGCTTGTAAGATTTTACTTTCACAGGCACTTTTAATTTAAAGAAACACCAGTCTGTTTCCCAGTTTATCTCAATTTGTATAAGAGTAGCTTCAGCTAATTCATGGCACTCAGAACCCATCCTTGGTTGTTATGAGACCGGGATTTTGCCAACAGAAGACTATTACCCTACCAATTGGGAATTTAGAGTTCATAATAGCAAAGAAAAAATAAACACAATTACCTAATAACCATGAGCTAACCCTTGTTAGTGTCCCACAGCCTATGACCTCTTATGCGCACGCTCTTTGTGCTGGTCACACAATCTTCCTCCCCAATGAAGTGTGTGACAAGCTATAAGAACATCTGCAAAGGAGGCTACACAGCTTAGCACCCCTGTGCTACTTAGTCACAACAAAGCCATTTCTACTGCTCAAGACAAACTACAAAAAACAATTGCCTTGTGTAACTGCTCCTTTAGTTGCTTGGAGTGATTTTTCTTAAGGACTTGTACTGAATTTGCCCCAAGGATGACATTCGGAAGGATGCGTTATACGACTCTAGGTTCCCAGTCTTCCTTTGCATGGGTCCATTGCCATTGTATCTTTCTTTGTGAGGTTTGTTTTCAAAGAGCGCAGCACGATTCTGGTTTTCATCCTTGTTACGCTTGACCCAGTGTCCATAGATTCTAAATGCGCAGCCGTCAATCATTTTGCGCAGTGGTTTCACGCCGTAAGGTTCTTGAAGGATCAAGTCAAATGTCACTGGTTGAAGTTTATTCTTTGCAAACTTGGAGAATTCCCTGACAGCTATAAGTGCAATCACAGTCCCCTGTAGCAAATCAACGATTAGTACCTTTAGTTGCTCAAGATATCACACTTGTCAGATTGCGACTTCCTTACATGCATCTTCGTTGTAGTGAAACTTAACACTTGAAATGTTGTGTTATTACCCAAAGAAGGCAAGATTTGCACATGCATAATACACTATCTTTTTCAATTAATTTTTCTTTGTCATTGTCTGTAAAACAACATGTAATCATCAGACCATATGGTGTGTATTTTGGAGAACACGAACCCCAATGGCTAATTTCCCATGTTTCTTAAATTAACCTACATTTGAACAGAGTTCACTATTTATAAGAAGAAAATAATCTCACTGTAACATCTATGGACTCATTACCAATCCAAAAATATCAAAATCACCTTAAATTTCCATCTTGCAGAAAAACCTTCATTCTTTGGTTGCTGAAAATGAGTGACATGCAACAAAATTGAGTGAGCAATATTTATGTTTCAGTACCACAAAATATGTTAGGTATACAGTGTCACTATCAAGGACAAAGACTTTAACAACACTTATTATATGGCTAGCCCCATGAGTAGGAAAGATGAATCAAATTCTGGCTGTTGGGTACCAGAGTGGGCAAGATGGCACTATCTTGCCCACTCAAGACCAAGGCTGTGTCTCACAAGAAAAGCCATACAATAAATCATTTATTGACTAAGCCTGAGTTTATGGACCTTGACTCATCTCAGTCCATAAACACACAAAAAAAGAACTTGGCCAATATCCAGCCATCTTGACCTCACACTTGGTCAATAACCCATATTTACTGATTACGAAACATTTCTTTTAATATAAATTCTGAGAATATAGAGCTATATCAAGATAATTTCCCCTAACCGATGATATGCTTTATTCTCCTCACCTGCTTGCTTCACAGTGAGTTGATTTTGCAAAGAGAAATTCAACTTACATGTAAGTCGCCCTTGAAAGCTGAATGTTCACAAACCTGAGCTCCTTGAAACCAGGGATGCTCCAGTGCTTGCTCTGCAGTGAGTCTTGCTTTAGGATGAATAACTAGAAGCTTAGAAATCTGTGGGCAAGAAAAAGGAGAGTTCCTTATCAAGTGCAAATGAGAAGCAAGCTCTTACATCACTCACTGACAAATTTTAATCAGACCTTGCAGAGCAAATCAGGATAAAATGCACAATTTTATTTGGTTCATGAAAAAAAAAGGCCACTTGATTCAAAACAGTTCACTATTATGCTTTGTCTTGACAAGTGTTGAGGAATTAGCATTCTGAGCGAGAATCTTGCTTTCAAATATTGTATAAGGAAACAGGTTCTGGCAAGAATGTTCCTAAGCAACATTTCTAATAATGTCCATTGATTGTGACATGCCAAATTTACATTACTGGAAAATCTTCAAGTTTAAATTTTCCAATTTGCCAAAAATGTTGTGCCAAAAATGATGTACTTACCAGATTCTTGGCAGGTGCTGAAATGTCATCCCACTCAGGGCTATGGAAATGATATCTTCCTTCCATTATTGATCGCAACATCACAACTTGTCGCCGATGCCAGAAAGGAGGACAGCCTACCAGCCTGTGGAGAGAATTGGGTAAACATTGTTGACATGACTCTTCCTTTTTTCCATGAAAGCTGAGACTCTTTTGCACAAAAATTATAATACAAAGGACAAAAATACTTACAAAGTATACATTATTACTCCACATGCCCACCTAAATATGAAACAAAGCAAAGTTCAGCTATACGCTTAATGACTAGATCTAGAACTAAAAGATAGATACATGATAACCATATTAATATTAATATTATTTTCTATTACAGTTCCAAGTCAGTTCAGTTGGCCAAAACCTAAAATCAACCAATCAGGTTATTCGAGTATTGGACTGGGATCCCAAGCAGATTACAATTAGGTGGTTTTATCACTTACTTATCTAAAAGAATTAACATACACATCAATTTTTGTTCCAACTTTCTTTTTGTTCTAGTCAGCTCTCAATCAGAATTGCACACTTATTGTTTAGAGTGCCCTTCTACTCCATGATGGCAGAATTTCTGCTTAATAACATTTTCGTTTGTGTAATAATTCTATTATTAACCAAGCTTGCTTGGGACGTGACTGGTAGGATATTGGCCCTCAGTCTTTCTTGTATGCCCATGGTCAAAGACCCCAGGTTGATATTCTCACAGTGACGCCCTTGCCGTTGGTCAATAAGATATAGTATTTATTCATAGACATGTAATGTACATGTACATGTATGTTAAAAAGATAAAGGTGACTTCCTCACATGTCAACTTCCTTTCCATAACCTGGGGCATCAGCAAACATGGAACACTGAAGGACTTCAGGAGATAAATAGCCTGGTGTCCCACACAACTCTAACAAAGCAAAAACAAAAAAGAAAACAGTTCACAATGTCATCATTTGACGACAACTACCAGGATTCATTCCCTTTGTCCTTTAATATTATTCAAACTTTTACACCACAGTCGAGTTTAAATAACAATCGCTCTAATCAACATGAGAAAAATAAAAAGTGAAGGATTCTGGTACTTGTAGTCTAATGATTCCATTGTGTAAATAGTGTATTAGAAGTTACATGTATAAGTGCGAGTTTTCTTCAAACAAACAGTCAACAAGGCATAGCCCAGTTCACAAATGCTCCTAGCAAATGAGGGGGAGTAGTCCAATTGTTTTAGTAGACACTCTAAAGGATTACAGCACAAAGCTACAATTTTGTGTGTTTTTAGGCCTAAAATTTAGCACGAATATAATTTTCAGGATCAAGATCAGTACACCCACAATCATTGTTTATCAGTGAATAGAAAACAATGAAAAAATCACTCAGATTCACGGATTTCCTATAGAACACAGCTGAGTGGCTACTACTGCAACATATATTAAAACAAACAAAAATGTTGTTACAATACATTGTCATTTGTACCTCGGAGCTTTTCTTCCTCTTTGAGCTTGACGGCAAAGCCAAAATCTGATATTTTCACAGCATACTCTTCATCTAGGAGGATGTTTTCAGGCTAGAGAGGAAACAATCACTAACAGTAAACATGCATGACATAGGCATCAAAACATACATGTAAATTGCATTGTCCGTGTACACCATTTAACAACTCAAATAAAGAAAGAACATTACCGGTAACATGCATGGATTAATATTCTCGCTGATATATGCTGAGAATTCCATCATGCATTGAGAACATCCTGTAAAGTCTTCATTACCATCAATAATATTTAGAATAAAGATGGATAAGATGGATATTTGTTAAATGAATTCTGTGTTCATTTGTGGCAACTCAAAGCTTGTCTGAGTGATACATCACTTCATTGAGAAATACAACATACCTTCAAATCTCTGTGAACAATGTCACTATCATGCATAAACTTTACAGCTTCAAACACCTCAAGCATAATACGCCTGAAATATATAAACACACTCCATAAACTTCTGAAAATAGCATCACCAAGAATACCAACCCTCTGACAAGCCGAGCCAAAAATGATCTCCGATATTTGTATTAGATGACCCATATTACAAAGGCAATGTATCACTATCTGGTGCAACACAAATTCTTCATCCCCTTAGACAGGTATTGAGTACATTTTTAAAGATAATTTGACCAGCATGTGGTACAGATTTTAGGTACCTTGAAATGGTGACTGCCCAGAAATTGCGACAAGGGTTCCAAAAGTAGTAACAAGAAAAGACTGCTGTCAAAATTCAAAAGTTTATTGTGTTTTGAACATGTTTTGTCATTCTTGTCTTTGTAACCTGTCGGTGTACTGTCTTGGAACTGAGTTTTGTCTATAAATTTCTTTTCACTAAGATTTACAATATTTAGAGAGGAAGTCACATCAACCTTAGCTGATTTTCAAGCAGGTCGTTTATCCTGGTGGAGTTGGAATTTGGAGAGGGAGAAAAACTGGAGAACCTGGAGAAAAACCCTCAGAACAAGGCAAGAACCAACGACCACTGGTTATAGAAGCTGAGCACAGTCTTACCTGGTTTTCTTTTCTGATAATGTCACTTGGTCTGTGAGATGATCAAACAATTCCCCTTTGGCTGCACTGTAACACAATGTTAAAGATATTAACTAAAGAATGAACTTTTAATTTTGCACCTGAGAAAAACAGTCTCATTATGATCAATTTGAAAGTGGAAGGACTCTCTCTCTTTAGATACTGAAAATTACAATGAAACATCTGAAGCAGCTGCAAACCAAATCTAAGTGTGTTGAACTCTGATAAACCTATTGTCCTGGGGATTTCACTAAATGTAAAATGTTCTCAGCAGGAGGGTAAATGGTTTTCACAAGTGGAAAATCTATTTGCAATGAACGTTTTTATACGAAAAAACGTTCTGCTACCATGTAGATGGCCAAACCAGCAAGCCAAATTGTCCTCACAACTGGTCAAGTTGCCTGGTGGTCAGCCCTTAATGAAGCCCCTATTATCCACACTTGCTGAGGTTGATAACAATGCCTTACCATTCCACTGATAAGCCCTGGGATTCATGAGGGGTTTGGGTGGGCTTATAAATGGTGGATCCTCCTGATCATGACCTACATATACATGTACTTCTAAAATATAGGCTACTTATCAATATGATACTACCAGAAAGAGAAAGAATGCAATGTGTGTTTAATATTAATCGAGCTACCCATTGGTTCCCAGTCATGCAGAATTATTTAAAATTCAACCTTGCCAATTTGGCATTTAAATGTGCTTGAGTTACATGTATTCAAGGTCTGAAGAAGGTATGTTTAGTATACAATAAATATTGTACTTACAGTTCAAAAACCAGGAAGAAAAACACAGGGGACTCAAAGACATCTACCAAGCCAACTAAGAAGAAACCAAGTAACACAATGATCACAAAATGTACTACACATCAAAACTGTACTTCCAAGTGGAATTAAAGTTAAAGTTAATAATGTAATTGTCCATAAACAATGTCCCACAAAAATAATGACTACATGTAAATTCAAATATAGAAAAAAATGCGAAAAATTATTTAGTTGATGCCAGCTGGCACTACTAATTTACCGCAAAACTGCACGACCTGATCACATGCAAGTCGAAAGTTCAAGTTGTTATTTCCCTTGGGAGTTAGTGAGTTTGACCCACAACACGTGACAAGTTTCTCCTAGAAACTAATAACTTTGCGTTATTTACAGTTGTATAGAACCCGTGCTGTACATTATTTAAGATTCAACTAACATTATTTCTGATGATCTTTAACTTTACTGTGATTCATGTACAATGTCGCATCTCTCACAGCTGGTTGTTTCTTAGTTTTTAATAGCAGTGTTAACCAAATTGAGTTTGTTGTAGCATGACCAGTGTTGAATTTTGAAGTTGAATCTGAGAATCTCTCGGGAGGTGGAAAAGTTGACTGAGTCAACAGAAACCTCTCATGATGGTAAAATGGTGAAAACAATAAGAATCAGAATTATTAGTATCAAAACAGTAATAATATTGCAGCATTACTTACTTATATTCCTATGTCCTTGTAGAGCAAGCAGAATGTTGACTTCATCTCTTGTAGTTGCCTCTATGTCCACGCCTCCTGCATCACTCAGCTTATCTATTATTTTTACGGCATATGGTTTGCCAGTAGCTTTGTGGAAACATCGCCGCACCACACTGGAAATTCCTCTGAAAAAAATTCACATTGAAATTTGTTTCATTCAGTTCAATGTATACTAGTCCAGTGTCTGATCTAGGGCACGCCATTGCGGGATTGGCGTAGTTCGATGGAAGATGTCCCCCAAATATTCGTCACATGGATCATTTTGGCGCAGCAAACATCTGCAGCTACTGACTTGTAATTTTCCTTCGTTTTCTAAGTTTTTCGAAAACTTTGTGTGATTTCAAGTTTCAGAGAACTGACAATATAAAACAGCATGCGTTTTACCAATGTTTACAACATGGACAAATAAAAATGGCTGCCAGAGGCTGAGATGAGATTCCTGGGAACAAGTAGAATAATTCTTATAGGGGGGGTCAATTTATAAAAATGCACGTGCTCATTGCGAACCCCTTACTTTTCATGCTTGACTGATGAAACGCAACATGTTATTTCAGTTGTTTTCTTTGTCATTCTGCTATTTTATTGTCATGTCAAAGCAGAAAAGAATATTATCATTCTTTGGTCAAGAAAACAAAAGAGAAGTACACAGACCGCAAACGGAAACCTTTTGTCGAACCAAAAGCCAAAGCAGTAAGAAGAAACTTTCAATTTACCTGGTTGGAAAAATTCAAGTGGTTGCGATACAAAATAAACAGTGTGTCCCCAAAAAAACTGGAATGTCCCCTAGAAAATTGTTGACTGGGACAGAATGTTCCCCTAAAGTGAAATTCTAGATCAGACACTGCTAGTCTATAATCCAAAGAAGTAAACTAGTACTAATGATAACAAGGTTTATTTCTGGGTAAGTAAGTAAGTAACTTTAGTTTACCAGGGTAGCCCATTCAGCAACAAGGCTGGTATCTATAGGGGTCCTAGGAAATAAAGAAACGTTGTTGTCCAGGGTTGCCTTGGATACCTCCCTTCTGCATACTGCATTTGGCATCTCCCTAACCTTTTAGGCAACAGTTTGTAAATGTTCCTCTAAACCTTGGAAAAAATGAGAAAACATTGCCATCTTGTAGATAACCTACAGCCACTGCGTATTAATGACTGATACTAGGTGATAGCTCAGCCAATCAGATTGCAGCATTTGCATTAGTTTTAAAGTAAACTAACTAACTCTACTTTAATATACCTTAGACTACACTATAAAACAGGTTAGTGCCAAATGCTGTTGGCCATTTCCAAGTTTCCACTACCTCAGCCTCAAAATGAGTCTTGGTGATAAACCTGTCATAAAAAAATGAGTTCTCCACATGGACCCACACGTTCATTGCCATGTAAATCAAACACTACATGTATGTGCCACTCTTGTTTTGCAGAGACAAGAGGCAGCTTGGCAACAGGCTCCCTGGTTCCATGATGTCCAAGGTTCTCATAGTATTTGGTCAACAATTTAAAAATTTGCTGTGTTGCCGAAAGGCAGATGAAAGCAAACTCTGTCAACTGTGGCTACCAGGGACAAAATATGGAGTGTTTCTATGGAAACTTGCTACATCTCAAAGAATTATTGTTACATGTCACCCTTCTGATTGAAACAGAGTTAGTTTCAGATTTGGTAACTTAAGCTTCAGGAAAGTTAATGTTATTCTTCAAAATGCAATTCTACATGTATAGCCATACTAATTAACCTTTTGTGGCCCTACATGTATGAGCTTTGTGCATGAAGGAGACGGCTAAATGTAGCTCTTTCTGCTGTAATTAGTTCAGTTGTTTGCTCGTTTGCTAGGTAGCGCCTTACTTGAAACACCAGTAATCATTTCGAAAATATCACATAATTTTGTCACAAATTCTCCCTCATACATGTATCTACATGGTTCATTAACCTTGAAATCTCCAGCAGGCAAACGATTACTAGTATTATTATTATTTTGTTACTTGTCTGAGCTGATCAAAAACTACCGGCAACTTAAATCATCCAAATTATCAAGTTATTACAGACTGATACTCAATATAATTCCAAAATAAACAAACAGCAGTTTTCTCCGAAAATGATCGACTTCAAGATTCACCCCCAAAAGGAACGAGCTTAAGGCGTGGGGCACGCTTGTTCTATTCCGTTAATTAGGGTAAGGTTAGACACCTGTGCTTAAATGTGCAAGACAAGGTACATCTAACCTCTTACGTTAAGTGAATACGTGTGCAAATTCGAGTTTTTACTTGTTAAGCCGGAAATTCATGTGACCTCTCAAGTTATAAGCTCTGCTGCGGATCTCAGTATTTGCCAATAAGCGTGATAACCTTTTTACACCACCACCTTATACATGTATTTCGCTGTCACGTCAGTTAGAGAGAAAAACGTTGGCAAATTTCATCTCTATTTGTTTAAGTTACTTGTTCCAAGCAGAATGCATAGCACACCCGCTGTAGCACTCCACATTTCAACCGACTGCTAAAAGGATTCCAGTGCAGTAACAAATCGAACGAATGCGTTGCAGAATTGCGACACGATCCCTCCTCGATCGGCCTACGTACGTCTGTTTAAGTATCTGCGATGAGTTTTGAGTAAAGGAAACGACCCACAGTCAAGTTAAATCCCATCACTGCAGTATGCAAAACACGCACGAATTCGCCAAGTTTCTAGCATAAACATCATTCCAATAACATCGTTTCCGCAGCATAGGGCTTCAGCAAAGGTCGAACAGACCACCGTGTTAGTGCACATGCTAGCAGTAAAACTAATTTGCTCGGCGAAAAGCTGTAAATTCGAAACGCATAATGATCTAAGCACTCTCCTGAAAACAATAATCTTACACAAAAATCATATCAAAGTCCACTTACGCGCCCAATTTCTCCTTTACTTCGTACTTGTCGGAAAATCCGCCGGTTGCTTCGGTTCCTAACGGCCCATCTTCCAAGTCAAATTCTGTCATTTCACGATGGCCAAGTCACAGTGCTTTGGCTTTCGACTCTCAAACATAGTTCTGAAATCATCTGGAGGGTTTCATCTCGTCGAGATGCAAAACAAAAGCGAACTTAAATTGCAAAGATTTGTAGTCATCTAAACCCTCGAATGAACTGTCCAAATTTACATAAAGAACAGTAAAACGAGCACTTGCTCGTCAGCGGTATGCTCTGTGAGAGTGACTGAACAATCGTAAAACGTGAGATCAGCCATTCACGCGTGACCAAAGCAACGTGACAACGTGACAAGCTTTCGCTAAAAATATAAACAGTCTAAAGATCAAAAAGTGAAAAATAAAAAAAGCAAAGTTTCCCAAAGACTTCAAAAAGTTCATACCAGAAGAAGCAATTTACAGATTTTTTTCGGTAAACCTAAGATGTGACGTGAAACAGGTGATAGGAGATGATGTTAGCGGGAAATGCAGGTGTAAGACGTTTGTTTGATCGGCACTGTTCAGGAGAGGTAGCTGACCCACATTCACGTGTCTTAATTTGGTGCGGGTGAACATAGCGTGACAGCTGATCAACCGTGATGGAGTACTCTATTCGAAAACAAAGTTATGAATCACTCAGCGTTCCATAAGTCACATGTACCAAAGAAGCAGCTAGTACGACCACAACATTCTCAAAACTTAGAATTCCTAAGAATGAAGGAGCGAATTGGTATTTTAACATTGTGACTGTAAAGCCAATGATTTTTCATTGTTACAAGTGCTGCGCTCTTTCGCCGCTGCCCGTCTTAGTACAGCTGAGCACGCGCTCGAGCGGCCAGCTGCCTCGCGCTTCGAGGCTTTTGCTTGCTGAAAGAAGCCGACCGTTTGAAATGTACGCTTGCCGCGTACCCGACTCAGGCCGCTCTGCTATGAATTGCGTAAAATTTGCGTTTCAACTTTCCGTTGGCCTCCTCTTTAGGCAAACAAAATCAATATTCAGGAATATTGGCTCCAAGGCATGGAACTGTCGCACATAACCACAAGGCCAATAAAGACCTTTATATGCATGATATTGGTTGCAATCTGAAAAAAAAAAAATCAAAGCAATTGGCCCTATATATCCTACGGCATCAATATTCGTCCGAAACACTGCTGTCGAGTCATTATCCTTTTAACGTTTGACGTCATCGGATGACGAACTTCCTGTTAAGGGATTCTGAATTTTCGTCGGTCATATTTTGCTCTCAGCCAGAGTGAGTCGTGGTTATTTTCATGTCAGGGCAGAAGAAGCTAGTAATTTCCTCAACGCTTGTTATGCTGGAGTTGAACAGTCCCCGCCTTTCTGGTCACCAAACTTGGCTACCTTCAATAAAAGTCAAACTGGAAAAAAAGATGGGGTGGGGCGGGGAGGAGGTTGAATGGGGAGACACAGGGGTTGGAGCCTTTACGGCTACGACCTCGGCAACATAAGGATTCCAAACTATGCTACATATATTGTCTTCGTTAACACGCAAGAGAACTATAATCATCATTTACATTGTTGTAAGCAATTAGTTTGTTTTCATGTAAATGGGTAACATGGGTAAAGACATCAATACGAGAACGTATTATAACAACTATTGAAGTATTTTCAGCCCAAGGTCAGTGAGGAGTGCGATTTTTCTGGCGGGTGAAGAATACATAAACAGGAGTTTAAATGAACGTTGAAATTTTCTTTGAACATAAATTACTAACAAATAAATCTTCCGTTACACTGTTACTCGATCAACCGATATTATTTGCCCAATTGATCTGAACGATTTATAATCGCCTACTGAAAAGGATTATGTAGAAGCCATGTCATGTTCGTATTGAAGTTTGAACCATTGAGCTCGCGCTCGTAGAATCAATATCATAACTGCACATGAACTCTTGTCTCAAGTTAATTTTTTCGTAATAAATTCCGCCCGTTTGTTGACCATAGTTTGCCGACACTCTTTTTGTTGATATGTATTGTTAAAAGCATAGTAGTAGGGTTTGCTCGGGTTTAGGGTTTGGCATTTAAAGCTGAATTTCAGGGATCAGGGATCTACTAGAGTTTTGACAGAGTTTTACAAGATTGCTAATAGAAAGTATTGCTTGAGATAACTTATAAAAAACATCGCTTGGTATCCTTTTGTGCAAAAAAATATATCATTTTGACAAAGGGTTCAAATAAACAGGACGAGTTCGCGGCTGGTTTCGCCGATTTTGAGCGAATCAACACTGGTTGTCATCACGGTCAGTTTGCATAAAAACAGGAACACTTCGGCATTGGTATAAAGAGAACTTATTACGAGATAAAATTATTTCCTCTCTTGTATCTTAGTCACCTCTTTTAACGTTAATAATTTATTTGGATCAAGAGTTCGATTCGACCCTACTTCCCTAAAGAAAAGTATAGCAGTTGTTATGAACAAGTGCGGGCTATGTTGGTAATCAAAACAAACTTACACAATGGCCACTTACTTGCCCAGTATCTCCGCGCCGGTTCCGTCATGATCATAATGGTATTTGTCTGCAAAGTCATCGGTTGTCTCATCACTTCCACAGCGCCTATTTTCCAGGCGAAGCCAGTTTTTCATTTCACTTCCAAAGCCACAACACAGCGTTTAAAATGTTCGGCTAAGACCTCCACGACCCAAAGAGATGCAGGATGAAAGCGAGCGTGGAGTTTGAAGTGATGCTCGCTATCGGAGAGCAGAGACGAATAAGGAAAAATAAATAATGAAAATACTAAAGGGTGGAGTAACTGAAGCAGGTAATTACTCGAAGTCGTTAATGGATACAACAGAACAATATCGTCTCGTCTGCTTGCAACATGGGTTTTGTCCGCCCTAACAATGAGATATAATTAGGTCGAGGATGTTATAGTATGGAAATTTGGAAGAAAAAATAATGGCAAAGTAAATATTTTAGAATCATTTTCATGCTTAGCAGCCTGCACAGCTGATAGACAGCTTTGCCCATCCTGCTGGGAGGTGATAATAGCAGCTTTATTGGCAGGCTATTTTGACTACCTACTGTTCGTGTGATTCTATTTTCATTCACCGTGGTATTTATTATTATTATTTTTTTTTTTACTTTCATGGCAGAATCCACGTCAATTTATTGGACTTTGGATTGTTATTTTCAGGGACTAGAACAATCAGATATGAAATAATAAGGAAACAAATAAAAAAATTAAAGAATAGCACGAAAAAATTAACATTTTTGGAGCGTCGTCATCACCATCGTCATCAAACAACATGGTGTTAGGACACCAATATTGCGAGCTAGCAATGGAAATACCAACTTTTTGTGATATTTAAACATAGCAAACATTGATTTGAGACTTCAAGCGAACAACAAACTAAAAGAAACCTAGGTGATAAAATTATTGATGAAAGTCCGAGAACTAATCGACGCTCTTCATGGAAACATTTCGTTAGGGCTCTTGAAGTTCTTGGCAACGTATTGGTGACCATGATTACGCTCGGCAAGTGAAACAAAGGTTGCTTTTTCAATGTTAAAGGAGCACAGTCACGGTTTGCCCATAATGAAAAGTTTAGCCTCAATTTTTCAAATTTGTCCTTTGTAATCCGTGTTAATCTTCTCCATCCTTAGCCATCCTTGTTCCTTTATGGTTTATCATTATGTCTTTGGTGTTTTTCTATCTTATTAAACTGTTATTTTCAGGTTTCCTACCATTTCAAGCTAATTTTGTGTGTGGCCAAAATAACTCAAAATACCGTGACTGAGCTCCTTTAAGCAAATTTGAGTAAAACAAATGTTTCTAAACACAATTTTCACCAGAACGAAATAAGTGAGCGCTGAAACCCAAACGTATTTGGCAATGAGTCAGGGTTTACGGTTGGTTCAAGAAATTAATTAATTTCTCAAACTCATTAATAATTCATCAGGTTAAAACAAAGAAAATCACAGCCGTGAAGGAGGTTTGGACACCCGGTCTTAATTAGCATAGATTTTGACGATTTTACTTCTCAGTTTACTTGCTCCTTAGTTTTTGTTTTGATTGAGAAGATATATCAAACACTCGAGACAGTTTCGTCGGGTATCCAAACACCTCAAATTTCGTCAAAAATACTCCGCTGCGCGTCATAATTTCAACTCTCTTCTCGATGTTTGGATATCCCGATGAAACACTGTCTCTCGTGTTTGATATATTACATCTTTTAGCCTGGTCAATAAATACAATATCTACCCAATACCACGAGTGTATATCCCTCCCCGGTATTTCCCTATCACGTCTGTATTCGTAGTGTCAGATGGAAAACAACGTCGGTTTAAAGCAACAAAAACCAAAATTAAAACGTTTATACGTTAGAAACAACAGGCGCACGGCTGTATCTTTGCTTTAAACTTACTTCTCAAAGTCAATCGCTTACTTGACAAAACCTTTTTAAAGTTTAAGATGGAAAAACGATGAATAACAAGCATTGTCAGTATGCTTTCCCCCTGCCTTAATTTCTTTATTTCTCAGTTACAATTGTATCATCATATTACCAACACCGCCACACTGCTACCAGGCAACCATGATTTTAATGTTTAGAATGTAAAACTGGACAGCTTAACTCACTGAGAAGCACCTTCCTGTTGTGGAGGCGTGGCCTAGTGGTTAGGGCGTTGGATCAGAGGTACCGGGTTCAAATTCTCCTCCCTGTCACTAGATGGATGTGTTTGGTGGTCCCAGATTCAACTCCTCCACGCTTTGTAAATAGCCAACTGGTCAGCCTCTCGCCAGTTGGGATTTTTAACAAGTTTCAGTTCAATTTACAATATTTGTTTGCTTACTTCAGTGTCCCCAATTAGTACAGCAGTGCAAGACACTTCGACGCTTCAATAAAGTGATTTATTTTATTTCATTTATTTATCTATTTTAATCTCTCTGTAACTTTCTGTGACTCTCACCTTTAAGGATAAAGTATTTTCTCATTCAGGCTTTATTTATTAAACAAAGTTTCCAAAAATGCCAATAGAAATTAATCTATCTTGTCGGGGTAACGTTTTGTTTGCAAATGCGATTAAATTTGGCTTCCACTAATTGGAAGAAATTTCATTGCAAGAAATTCGAAAATCGCACTAATGTTGAACACTATTTTGTCCAAGACCCGCAGGGGCGTTTAGGAGAGTGCAAAAATGAATTTTAAAAAAGATATTACTGATAATACGACATGCTCAACTGTAAAATCGAGCAACTGACTTCAACGACCATGGGGAATTCACCAGGATGTGAATTTGTATTAGTATATGATAAAACTCTTAAACGCTCCAGTAGCGTCTCAGTTATTTTTTATATTTTATGGTCGAGGTAAATCTCAAAATAACTGTAAAAAAATAAAACAACATAAAATGAAACGGCCAAGATTAGAAAATACTAACGGTGGGTTAGAAACCAAGCCTACGTAAAGAATAAAAGTGCAGGCAATCCCACTACGTACATATTGAGAGGGCCTTGAACTGAGTTAGCTTCGTTTCTAAGGTCTCCATGAAAACGGGGTTAAAACGAAGCCTTCATTGCAGATACGTGCTCAGACTCCTGTGAAGTGTGTGGATAAATAAATATCCATCGACTCGGCGAGCAGTGATCGATTGACCGACGAGCCACCGACCAGCCAACGCAGCGATCAACCGAACGACGATCGAACAACTGCTAACAATCTCTTTCATTAGAACACGTTGACGCCATGTTCTTTATGAAGGACCTTCGTGGCCTTTCTTTCAAGTTTTAAGATCGGGTCACGAGGCGACGGGACACCCTGTAAGGCTTTGTATGAGCCCTTCAAGTGGAAGTATGTTCCTCGCCCCAGGTCGCGCTTGCCATACACTGTAGACGAACGGCTCCTAGAAGGCAATGAGATGTTATTTTTATAAGTATTTTCACCTCTCTTCTTGGTGTTTGGAAATGTAGTCAAAAACGGTCTTTCGTGTTTGATATATAACGCCCAGTCTAAGATTATACCTGATGGTGACATCTTTCAGGGTTGAGCAGTTTTCAAACTGCTCGTGTAAAACTTTGGTTGTCTCGCAAAACGAGTGGTCCACCTGATAGACAAGTTCATCGAGGTTCCCTGAAAATCACGATATAGAGAATGTTAATAAACATGTTCGAGCGCAATGAGAAGAACAGTTTGTCCCTAACTCAAGGCGAGACAGTTCTCTTAACAATTAGATTATCAGCTCGAGACAAGACAAACTTTTTTATTTGTGATGTTTTCTTTGTATTCAAGTCTCTTTTGGCGATTGAGAGACAAAGCAAACCTTGAAAAAATTTGCAATTTTGACCCGAAAGTCTCGGAGCCATGTTAGAATATTGATATATCGAACGTGCCCTATTCTGCAATTTGACATTTGCAGTTGTCTACGCGCGCTCATCAGTTTTGCCCAAAAATTTCGAGTTTTTTTAATTCGGGAAAGGCTAAATGCCCTTCTTCTCAGGAATTTTGTTTATTCATTCGTTTCTAAATGTTCTTTCAAAACTTCGTAGAGAGGAGGAAACGTAGCAATTTTGTCGACCATACCAAGCCACTGCACACTAATTAATAATTAGACCCGTGGCCCTTGGGGGCGAAGGGTCTAATTGTTTTAGTATCACCTAACTAGTCGGACAGAAAAAGGCAACAATAACGTTGGCAAACGCAAGTTGAAGAAATATTTATTTGGGAATAAAGCGAAAGAAAGCGTCACGCTCGATTGCGCCAATTTAGCTACTCGAGGACAATTACTAATAGTCCTCTAGTAGCGTAGCCAATTAAAATGCAGGATTTGCATCAGTCCACTAGTTGGGTGATACTAATGGCTGATAGTGTCCAACGGCTCAGCCAATCAGATTACAGCATTTGCATTAGTCTACTAGGAGAATTCTACTGGTAGAATTCTACTAATAAATTATAGACTGAGTCTATAACCGTATCCTCCTCTGGAAGGATTCTTTGGGATCGTCACGCATTCCCCCCAAGAACGGCGTAGGTAAAAGCGAGCGACGAAAAAAGAATGTATACGTGGGAGGCTACCGCCCAGCAAGACATTTACAGAAAAACAGAGCCAATAGTTCCTTGATTTGACCAGAAATTTAGTGCACCAAAATTTTCTTTCAACATGCAGGGGGCATTTTTGCTATGACGCTTACTTTATGATTTCGCTTTATTTTTTTTCTTGCTGTAACCAAGCACAAAGAAGGGTTCACAATCTCAGCCCGTCAAGAAAAAAATATAAACCAAATGTGCCTTGGCTTCAACGTTTCCGGCTTTCGATACCGGTTCTGCTTCTCTGCTTTCAGTTAAGATTGCCATCTCGCCGTTTTCCCGCGTTCTACATTACCCGGTTGCGCGTCGTGCGCACTTAGAGTCTTGATTGGTTTACAATGTATCACTATTTTCCCGCGCTTGACACACTAGCTGGCAGTCTGCTTTGAGCTGTAATTGGTTGATTACACTTTTCCCGCGCTAGATAACAGCTGTAAGTCTTCAAATTAATGCTGTGAGTCGTTGGTTACCTGCAGAGACTCTCTCAAATGTTTGCTGTGTGATTAATTCGGATTTAGGATACGGCAGTCATCAAAAACCGCTCCATAACATGAATTGCATTTCTTCAAGTGTGTTCGTGGTTAAGGAAGTGAAGCATCAAAAGATTGTTTGCATATTTTAAGTGTTTCCTCCGGCAAATTTCCCTACTTCCCTTCAATTTCGCACTAAATCACGTGGCTATTCATTCGTTACCTTGAATCATGTTCCTCTCAAAACTGTCGTACACAAGGAAGCTGTATTCATCCGAGTAGGCCTGGAAACAAGTGTATCACCAACATGAGTAAATGCATTTACCAAGGCAGCAGCATGCAGAATAAACATTGATCGACAGATTTCTGAATCAGTCAAAGTTCTTGTTTCGTAGATCCTCTAACCATTTCATATCCGTACGCGAGCTACGTTTGCGAATGAAAAATTTGCCCATTACTTACTCGTGCAACCACTGGATGTTGCAATTAAAGAGTTTACATTCAATTGGCTTAGCCATTGTACCACGCTCTACAAATATGGAAAGCGTACGTGTAAGATTTTCGGACGTTTTTATTTTTATTTTATTTTAGTTTTCTGTATTTTGGGGACGTTTTTAATAAAACAGTTATTCCACTCGCTCGTGCTGGACATAAGATGATTATAGCTAACTCGGCGCTACGCGCCTCGTTGGCTACCTGCCATCTCGTATCCAACGCACGCTCGTAGAATAATTGCTAAGCATTACATGGTGTTTACTTACCGGAATTGGTTCATTTCCTAAAGACTGTTTGACCAGAAACTCCAATTCACCAAGTTGATTCAGCGATGTTTCCCACTGAAAAAAGAAATTAGTTCGCAATGGGAGAGACCAAAGTATTTACCCTGGAACTATCTGTAAAGTTCATGTTTTAGCCTGGCGTTATGATCGGATTTCGTATGTTGTGGTTGGGTAGAGGTAAGCCGAGAGAGGCACTGTGAAAGTGAAGTGTCTTGCCCTAGAACAGAATACAATGTCCCCAGCCTGCTTTCGAACCCGGACCGCTCGATCTGGAGTCGAGCGCACTAACGATGAGCGTACCGCGCTTCCCCATGTCTACCTTACCAGAGCTTTTATGCTGTTGCAGTCACTGTTCAGTCCCTCTTCAGTCAGAAGAATAAGTACAACGTTAGAGTGTGCTTGAACGTACAGGTTAACATGAGTCAAGCTCTCCACCTATCAAATGACAGAAACGATAGTGAACAAATGTTCTTAATTAGCATAGATTTTTTGCGATTTTATTTCTCGGTTATCTCCTTAGTTTTAGTTTCGATTGAAAAGATAAATCAAACACTCAAGACAGTGTTCCTTCGCATTTCCAAACACCTCGAAGTTCTTCAGAAATACTCCGCTGCGCGTCGTATTTTCAACTCTCTTTACAGTGTTTGGGAAAATGCGATGAAACACTACCTGTCGTGTTGGATATATTACGTCTTTTGCATGAATAAGTGATGATTCACGACAAATTAAAAGAAGTACTTACTTGATTTACGTCTTCTCCTCCACCTTCCTCTTCGAACAGCAATTCCCCTTCACCTTCCATATCCGCGAGGGAGGGCGCGTGGACGTCGCCCAGTGGTGGTTCGAACCATTCCCACGATTCCTGCTCCTCCTCCTCCTCCTCCTCCTCCTCCTCCTCCTCTACCTCCTGCTCCTCCTCCTCTACCTCTTCCAGCGCCTGGTCAACTGGCACCTCTAGTCCTCCAGACGAGGGGATGCCTTCGCGACCGTTTGCAACAAAAATCTCAGAATCAGATTCACGTGAGATGAATGCTGTCGCATTCACAGCCCCTATACTTCCCTTAGCATTTGAAGGTGGAGTCGATAAATTGACCTCACATTCTGAAATTTTCACATCAGCACAAGTATCCACGCAAACAAAGGATTTTTCCAAGAACTTCTCACACCCAACGTTAAGATTGCGAATTGAAAAGGAATCGCAAACTATAGGAGTCTTGACCAATTCAGTTCTCGAACTGTTATCTTTGTCAGGGTTCGTATCGATCGGTTGACAATTTTTAGCGAGGCCTGCAGTTCTTGGTGGCTTAACAAAACTGCCTTCTTTGACATCACCACGATCAGACTTGAGCCGATCAGTTGTGTAAATATCTGCTAGAACATCCACTGTCTCCTTCCCCAGATCGTGCTCAGCAGAGTGAGAGTTTCCATTCGAGAACAATTCGTTGCTCACAAGATGAGTCACAATCAAGTCATTTCTTAAACCCTTTGGATTCGTATCGTTTTTAACGAAATCTGCAGGGTTCGGTGATGCGTTAAATCTCGTTTCTTCACCATTTCCACGACCAGACTGGCGCGGATCTGTGTCCTGAATATCGCGAGGAAAATCTACTCTTTCCTTCTCCAAATCGTACTCGGCAGAACAATGGTCTTTATTCGTGAAAGAATTGTTACCCTGATCATGGCAGGGATTTTCCTGGGATTCACAAGGCGCAGCGCGCCCACCAGAACAGTAACATGATTTTTGCGAATTCGCGCACGACTTGCAACACGCTGCAAAACCAACGCCTCCACTGCTCTCTGAATTCAAGTTTAAATTCTCCTTATCGAGTTCTTCAACAACTTTCCTTATCAAATCTTCCAAGACTAAACTACAAATTTCTACATCATCAATTCCAGATGGTTCTGTTGATGTGCAGTTTGAATCATTACACGTAGAACCAGTAAGTTTGTCCTTTGCTTCACCACATTGCTGCCCTTGGCACTGGAAACTAGAATATTCCATGACTTTTAAGCCCGTCACGTTAATGGCCTCCATAGTGAGGCTAACATCGCTGGACAACCCACTCTCGCAAGAACTGCTGTCGAAAACTGCAGTAGAATTTGTTACTTCAGACTGACCCGTTGTACTGTCCTCATTCTTGACTGTACCATCTTCCTCATCTCCATTCCCAGCAAACACACCGCTCTCGCTTTGACTGTTTTCATTTCCTTTTTCAGTTTCGCCTTCTCTTCCCTCAATTGTCATAACACCGTCGACATCTCGTTCGTCTGACAGAGTGTGTTCAACATATCTAAGCTCTACACCAGGCGGGGTACTTGATTCTGTTTTACATTGCGACTGTGATTTTGATTCTTTCCCACCCGTGATGCCAGAATTGCCATCAGTGTGTTGTTCAGCATCCTCGCCTGTGCCTACTGGCGTAGCGGATGCGACAACCTTTGCGAGAATTTCCGTAAAGGTACCTTCTCGCCTAGTTGTCCCAAGACCTTCGCTTGAGTCAGTACCTCTATGGTCACTTGTGACTTGTGGCGATGGATCGCTCAAACGTTTATCATCACTCTCATCAATCTGCCTAACCGACGAGTCTCTATCGCCCGAGGACGATGCCGCGAACAAATCAGGAAATGTCCCGGATGAATGTCTGGAGGAGGGCTGTCTGTAAGCAGACTCGGCCAAAGCATCGTAAAGGTTTTGATACTCGGTCAGTGTCAGGAACGCATTCAGGATACGGACGCCAAATGGTAGATCACAAGCTTTAAAAAAATACATATTCATCTATTCCCTAGTTCATAATTTTCTATAGTCGCATCACTTATCTGCATGACAGCGTGCAGGGGAATGTTTGTTCACAATATTTGCTTCATTAGCATATGCGATTCACTCTATGATTGAGCTAAAAGTTACAACAAATACTAACTGTCACAAGCTCTATTAATGCTTGAACAGGGGCGGATCCAGGATTTTTCTTAGAAGGGGGTGCACCACTAATGAATGGCGTAACTGACTGGTGAAGTAAACAAATTTTAAAGTGAATACGAAGAAGAAGGCCCCCTTTCAGGGGGAGTGCATACCCCCTGCACCCTCCCCCTAGTTCTGCCCCTGTTCAAGACAATTTGCCTGTAGTACAAGATGCCTCCTGACGCAAAATCGCATACTGCAACAATAACGTCAGCGAACATTCCCTATTAACTAGCTAAGGAGAAACTAGGCTTTGACCACTATTAGCCTGGTTTTTCCTGCGCCTTCCAACCATAACATGTTTTTTAAGTAAGCTGATTGATTCATTTCTCTGCTCCATTTTGTGGGCGAGTTATCGAGTTTGTGACCATTAATTTTGCGATCAGCGTTTTATGGTGGTCACTGAAAAAGACTAATACCTGCATAGGTAAACTAATTATAATCACATTTTTCGAACCATATTGATAACAAAATAAAACTTACCGGATTTAACAGGCCTTGCTGGATGCTGTATCAAAAAGAACAATGGCCGAAAAAGAAAGTTTCAATTCAAGTTTGTCACAAAAGCAAATTGACAAGCAATTCACTCAGAATAACAAACATCTAATGTGAAAACTTCAATTTTTAAAAAGCATTCTGTTACTTACGTTTCTTTGATTTGGTTTAAGAAGAAGCAGCCTCTCTGTTATGGACGGTTCCAACTGGGTACACAGAATACTGAAAACAACAATGTTCATAGAGAGGAAAATTACCACCAGTCACGTGACTTGTGACATTACAGCTGCAATGATTGGTTCTGAACGTATTTTGCTTAAAACAGGAAGTAAAACGAATGGATACCTGTTGCTGTAGAGAATGCATCCACCAAGAATGTGTTGTCTGCGTTGGCAGGCTTGTAGAATGTAGGATGCCTTGGTAAAACATGTGGCTGCAACTCTCTATTAACAGGAGAAAAGCATCTGATCATCCACTTCGACTCATAACTTCTTATTGCAGTCACAAGTTAAAAACAAAAAACTTATAATGGTTACTATTAGTGATGATTCAATTTTGTACCCAGGCCATGTATTCAGGTTTAGCATCTCAACAAGGGTGTCAATTAGAGACTAGAAGCACATTCAGGCTGGAAGGTGCAGCTTTCATTAAATTCATAAATTCATAAATGTTAGATATCTGAACTTGACAAATTCTTAATTAAAATCAGTAAAGTCAGTAAATAGAAATAGAAATCCCAATATCAGAGAGGTATAGAGCCTCCATTTGAGGATACTTACCTTATAAACCTTCAAGGACATGGGTGGGGTGCATTTTACTGAGAGGGACGCTACTTGTTAGAAATGGGTGCTAAACTGAATCGTTATCAGTGGCAATGAAGAGATTGGCTTGTGATGAATTCATGAAGGTCTTGCTCTCTTTGCTCAACATTGCATGCTAACACTATTAATCAACAGACAAATAGCAAACTCACACCCTCGCTGTGGAACAAAGGGGGTGTTTGAACCCCCTTTGAGCTTTGCTCTAATAACATACAGTAAAAAAATTTTCATTCAGACAGTAGATACATGTAGTGCTCAGTTTCCTTGACAAGGTAAAAATGGTTTTTAGCAGAGCTCCGGCGGCCTGAGGGTCCACCAAGCGGAGCCCCATACCCATATAGGAAAGAAAAAGAAACCCATGAGTTGATTTTCTCATGGTTATCATGGCTAGCGGTATTACTCATGGGCGCGTACGCACGACGATGATGGCGACGGTGGAGTTGCCCAACATGGCGGCCATACTCCAAATAATAGGTTGACAGAGACATGCAGCCTTGGTTTACCGTGTACTTCCTTGGTATTGGACAT